TCCTGCCTTACTAATAGAATAACATAAATGACCCCTGCCTTACTGATAGAATAACCTAAATGACTCCTGCCTTACTGATAGAATAATCTAAATGACCCCTGCCTTACTGACAGAATAATCTAAATGACCCCTGCCTTACTGACAGAATAACCTAAATGACCCCTGCCTTACTGATAGAATAATCTAAATGACTCCTTCCTTACTGATAGAATAACCTAAATGACTCCTGCCTTACTAATAGAATAACATAAATGACTCCTGCCTTACTGATACAATAACCTAAATGACTCCTGCCTTACTGATAGAATAACCTAAATGACTCCTGCCTTACTGATAGGATAACCTAAATGACTCCTGCTTTACTGACAGAATAATCTAAATAACCCCTGCCAACTGACAGAATAACCTAAATGACCCCTGCCTTACTGATAGAATAATCTAAATGACTCCTGCCTTACTGATAGAATAACCTAAATGACTCCTGCCTTACTGACAGAATCATCTAAACCAAGGTTATTCAATCCTTTGAACTTCAAGGCCCATTGAGTTATATAACCTTATTGATGTGTGTTCACCTAGGATAGGCCCATACTTACAATGTATAAAATTGATGTGTATTCACCTAGGATAGGCCCATACTCACGATGTATAAAATTGATGTATATTCGTATGTAACAGTTCGATATATTCATGTAGACCGAAAACTATTGTCATGTATATCAATGGTAGTTGTTTATCTCACAAACTACATTATTTTGACTATTGTAATGTATATCAATGGTAGTTGTTTATCTCACAAACTACATTATTTTGACTATTGTAATGTATATCAATGGTAGTTGTTTATCTCACAAACTACATTATTTTGTTCAGAATGAAATAATTAATTATTACGAATGAAACTGGATTTGAGTAGTTCTTTATTTGGAAATGTATCGAAAATTCATGAGTTTTATGGCATCTATCATCAGCTCGATATATATATATATATATATACGAGTGGTGTGCCATCTACCGGATGCTTGTGATACTATGAATATTTGAATCCAAAGTATTATTATTTTTTCGATGTGTTATCTAAACCACTATTTGAGAAAATTCAGACTATGAGTCTGCTTATATCTGGCGAATTACTGGACCGATTATCACAAAACATGGCCTAAGGTTCCCCCGGGGCCCCATGTCTTCCTTGTCACTTACTTAGAAGTATATATATGCTAGATTTTATCCATAAACTGCTGTAACTTCAAATGTGGGCGCCATTTTATACATTGTAAGTATGGGCCTATCCTAGGTGAATACACATCAATTTTATACATCGTAAGTATGGGCCTATCCTAGGTGAATACACATCAATTTTATACATCGTAAGTATGGGCCTATCCTAGGTGAACACACATCAATTTTATACATCGTGAGTATGGGCCTATCCTAGATGAATACACATCAATGTTTATACATTGTAAGTATGGGCCTATCCTAGGTGAACACACATCAATTTTATACATCGTGAGTATGGGCCTATCCTAGATGAATACACATCAATGTTTATACATTGTAAGTATGGGCCTATCCTAGGTGAATACACATCAATTTTTATACATCGTGAGTCTGGGCCTTTCCTAGGTGAATACACATCAATTTTTATACATCGTGAGTATGGGCCTATCCTAGGTGAATACACATCAATTTTATACATCGTGAGTATGGGCCTATCCTAGGTGAATACACATCAATTTTATACATCGTAAGTATGGGCCTATCCTAGGTGAATAC